AAAATTAATCAAAAAAGATGAGGAGGTACAGTACACATCATCAAAGGAAAAATCCACCAAGAGGACATCACTATTCTGAACATCTATGTCCCAAATACAAGAGCACCTACATTCATAAATGATACATTATTAAAGCTTAAAATACACATTGATCCCAACACCTTAATAGTGGGAGACATTAACAGCCTACTCTCACAAAGGACAGATCATCTGGATAGAAGCCAAATAGAGAAATAAAGTCACTTAGAGAGGGCCTAAAACAAATGTACATAACAGATGTCCACAGAACTTTTCACCTCAACTCAAAAGAGTATATATCCTTTTTAGCACCTCATGAAACCTTCTCCAAAACAGATCATATAGTTGGTCACAAAGCAAGCCTCAACAGATACAAGAAAATTGAAATAATCCCCTGTATTCTATCTGACCACCATGAACTAAACCTGGACCTCAACAACAGTAGAAATAACATAAAGCCTACACACACATGAAAACAGAACAACTTCCTTCTCAATTACAGCTGGGTTAAGAAAGAAATAAAGAAATTAATGACTTCCTAGAATTCAATGAAAATGAGGGTACAACATACCCAAATTTATGGGATACAATGAAAGCAGTGCTCACAGGAAAATTCATAGCACTAAGAGCCTTCAAGAAAAAATTTGTAACATCTCATACAAGCAACTTAATGCCCTAGGGGAAAAAAAAAAGAAGCAGATAAATCCAAGAGAAACAGACAGCTGGAAATAATCAAACTCAGGGTTGAAATCAATCAATTAGAAACAATTAAAACTATTGAAAGAATCAATGAAACCAAGAGCTGGTTCGTTGAGAAAATCAACAAAATAGACAAACCCTTAGTCAGACTAACTAAAAGGCAGAGAGAAACTATCCAAATCAGCAAAATCAGAAATGAAAAAAAGAAATGAAAATCAGTGTCTGTAGTTGCATAGGTCGTACTACAAAAGCCTATATGCCACAAAATTTGAAAATCTAAAAGAAATGGATAATTTTCTTCATAGATTCCAACTATCAAAATTAAGTCAAGATCAGGTAGAAAGACTGAATAGCCGTATATCCCCCAAGGAAATTGAAGCAGTCACCAATAGTCTTCCTTTGGAAAAAAAGCCCTGGGCCAAATGATTTCAGCATAGAATCCTACCAGACCTTCAAAGAAGTGCTAATTCCAATTCTCTTCAAACTATTCCACAAAATAGAAGGAACTTTACCAAACTCATACTATGAAGCCACGATCACCTTGATACCTAAACCACAGAAAAACCCAACAAAAAAAGAGAACTTCAGACCTATCTCTCTTATGAACATTAATGCAAAAATACTCAATATAATACTTGCAAGCCAAGTCCAAGAACACATAAAAGATATCATCCATCATGAACAAGTAGGCTTCATCCCAGGCATGCAAGGGTGGTTCAATATAAAGAAATCCATCAATGTAATCCACCATCTAAATGAACTGAAGGAAAAAAACAAACAAACATGATCATCTCCTTAGATGCTGAAAAATCATTTGACAAAATCCAATACCCATTCATGTTTAAAGTCTTGGAGAGATCAGGGATACAAGGCATATATCTAAACATAGTAAAGGCAATATAGCCTTTATAGCAAGCTTATAGCCAATATCAAAATCAATGGAGAGAAAATTAAATCAATCCCACTGAAATCAGGGACAAGGCAAGGCTGCCCACTCTCTCCATAGCTCTTCAACAGAGTACTTGAATTCTAATTAGAGCAATAAGACAAGTAAAGGAGATCAAAGGGATACAAATTGGAAAGGAAGAAGTCAAAGTTTCACTATTTGTAGATGAAATGATATTATACCTGAGTGACCCGAAAAATTCAACCAGAGGATTCCTTCAGCTGATAAACCCTTTCAGCAACGTGGCTGGATAGAAAATTAACTAAAAAAAAATCAGAAACTCTCCTGTATATAGAAGACAAAAGGGCAGAGAAAAAAATTACGGAAACGACACCCTTTACAATAGCCACTAATAACATAAAGTATTTTATTGTGACTCTAACCCACCAAGGGAAAGACCTGTTTGAAAAAAAAACCTTCTGGTCTCTGAAGGAAGAAATTGAAGAAGATCTCAGAAGATGGAAAGATCTGTGCTCATGGATCAGTCGGATTAACATATTGAAAATGGCCATCTTGCCAAAAGCAATCTACAAATTCAATGCAATTCCCATCAAAATATTAACACAATTCTTTACAGATCTTGAAAGAAAAATTCTCAACTTCATATGGAGAAACATAAAACCCAGAATTTCCAAAACAATCCAACAACAGATCATCTGGAGGTATCTCCATCCCTGACCTCAAGCTTTAATAAAGAGCAATAGTAATAAAAATGGCATAGAAGCAGAAAGGTGGATCAATGGAACCAAATAGAAGACCCAGAAATAAGCCCATACACCTATTAATACTTGATTTTCAACAAAATAGCCAAAACCATTCAATGGAAAAAAGACAGCATCTTCAACAAATGGTTCTGGTTCAACTGGATGTCTACATGCAGAAAAATGAAAATAGATCCATATTCATCACCCTGCACAAAACTAAAGTCCAAGTGGATCAAAGACCTCAACATAAAACCAGATACTCTAAATCTGTTAGAAGAAAAAGTGGGCGAGAGCCTGGAATTCATTTGCACAGGAGACAACTTCCTGAACAGAACACCAACAGCACAGGCTCTAAGAACAACAGTCAATAAATGGGACCTCATGAAAAAGAAAAGCTTCTGTAAAGCAAAAGACATTGTCATCAGAACAAAACGACAGCCTACAGACTGGGAGAAAATCGTCATCAATCCTATCTCTGACAGAGGGCTGATATCCAGGATATATAAAGAACTAAAAAAATTAAAAGGCAATAAATCAAGCAATCCAATTAAAAAATGGGGAACAGAGCTAAACAGAGAATTCTTGACAGAGGAATACTGAATGGCAGAGAAACACCTAAAGAGATGCTCAACATCCTTAGGCATCAGAGAGATGCAATCAAAATGACCCTGAGATTTCACCTGACACCCATCAGAATGGCAAAGGTTAAAAACTCAAGTGACAACACGTGCTAGAGAGGTTGTGGAGAATTGGGAAACTCCTCCATTGCTGGTGGGAATATAAACTTTTACAACCACTCTGGAAATCAATCTGGTACTTTCTCAGACAATTAGAAATAATGCAACCTCAATATCCAGCTATACCACCTAGGCATATATCCAAAAGAAGCTCAAGTACACAATAAGGACATTTGCTCAACCATGTTTGTAGCAGCTTTATTTGTAATAGCCAGAACCTGGACAGAACCCAGATATCCATCAACAGAGAAATGGATACAGAAATTGTGGTGCTTTTACACAATGGAATACTACTCAGCAAATAAAAACAAGGAAATCATGAAATTTGTAGGCAAATGGTGGGATCTAGAAAAGATCATCCTGAGTGAGGTATCCCAGGAGCAGAAAGACACACATGGTATATACTCATTTATATAGACCTATAAGATAGGATAAACATACTAAAATATGTGCACCTAAAGAAGATAAGCAAGAAAGAGGACCTGGGGTAAGATAATCAATCCTCACTTAGAGAAACAAATGGGATGGACATGGGAAGTAGGAGAAAACAAAAACAGGACAGGAGCCTACCGAAGAGGGCCTCTGAAAGACTCTACCTAGCAGCGAAAGAAAGTAGATGCCAAGACTCATAACCTAACCTTCAGCTGAGTACAGGGAATTATATGATAAAAGGGGGAATTAGTATGACCAGGAGAGGAGAGGAGCTCCACAAGGACAAAATATATCAGGACATAGGGGTCCACTATGAGACTGTTTCTCCAACCAAGGACCAGGTATGCATATAACCTAGAATCCCTGCTTGGTTTTAGCCCATGGTAGCTCAGTATCCAAGTGGAGTAAGGGGAACAGAAACTATTTCTGACATGACTGGCTCTTTTACCTATCTCCCCCTCTCACTGAGTGAGGAACAGCCTTGCTAGGCCACAGAAGAGGACATGGTAGCCAGACCTGAAGATACTTTATAAGCTAGGGTCAGATGGAAGGGGAGGAGGACCTCCCCTTTCACTGGACTTAGAAATGGGCAGGGAGGAGATTAGAGAGGGAGGCTGGTGTTGGGAGGGAAGGAAAAAGGGGCCTATGGCTGGGTTACAAATTAAATAACTTGTGATTAATATAAAAAATAAAAATTAATAAAAAAATAACACACTGTCGATTTTTGGCATGATTTCTAGCTCTAAAGGGAATACAGGTGAGTGTCTTTGCTGTTATGATTGACTTTCCACACTATGGGTCCCATTCTGCCCTTGAATTTGTGTTGGGAGCCATGACTCCAAGCGGCCAGCTTTGATATTTAAATCTCGGTGGAGAGATGGCTTTTAGCAGGCCTTTACTAATGGCAGAGAACTTACAAGTCCATCTCCTTTTGTTTGCGACAACAGGTGGGATAGCTTGTGAGGATCACACCTTTTCCTCTAGCTCCTTGTGCAAATTAACCTATTGTTCTGAGATGTTTTACTGGCTAAAAGTAATTCTTCACAAAATAGAGAGGTCAAAAGGCTGGCGACAGAGTTGGAGGCAGAGACTTGAGACTTGCTGCTGGCACTGCTTGCTGCAGCAGCCTGCCTTTTGCCATGGCTGTCGAATCTGGACCTTTAAAAAGTTTCCTGTGTGCTGTGTGTTTATTTTATTAATTTTTATCCTCACTCCCAACTCAAGAACCGTTCGACTCTGCCCAGCTGGCTCCGGCAATTTTGTCTTCCCTTCTTTAGTATGTTGAAAATTTTAATAGGGAAAATATAAATATAAAATGCAATATGAAAACATAAAGCTTCAGGCTTTAATGATTCTATGAGGACTTTCTCTACAGACTTAAGCTCTCTCCTTCTGGCTATTCTAAAAATGGCCACCTGACCAGAATGCCCTCTTCCATAAAGCACATCCTCTGTTTTTACTCACTTGGTCTGGATACTTGCTCCCAGTGATTTCTGCTACAGTGTTGAAGGAATCAGTGTCTGGATAGGTCTTTGCTCCCATCTCTAGATGAACAACAATTTTGTTCCCTCGAGAAGCCATTCTTGACATCATTTCTGCATCTTCCACTGTGATACAGGCTGTTGGAATCTTGAGCACACCATCTTGATATTCCTGAAAACCTGTGTGAGGACTTGAGAAAAGGTACCACCAGATTAACTTAAAAGCGAAAACTGATAGAAAGCACTTATATATTGCCCCTAACTTTCACTGATTTTTACATATGCAGAGTAAGAAACATTTGATTTTTATATATAAAATTATGTTTAATAATTATGTTATTAAAATATTGTATATTTTGTTTTAGTTGAATAATCCTAGTATAAATAGTTGGCACAATATCTTACAGTGACAATGCTGTCATAACCAAGAAATGAACACATGTACAGAAGGCAAGGGAGCCATTGTCTAAACCCCTTGAAGGTATAAACAAGTTACACATGCATGGCAGGAAACTGGTTCAGAATATTTCAGGTCTGTAGTTACTTACTGTCACTGGGTCTCCCCTCTACCCAAGCAAACACAAAACACAGAATATCAACCCTGTAATAAGGTAGACAGTTGCAGAAAAATGGTAAAATAACTAAGAAATATTTGTGTTGCATTGAAGAAATGTTGATTATTTTGACACAGGGAAAGGAAGTAAACTATAATTATGGCAGTAAAGGAAACTATTACATGTCATGGTTAATCGGTATGTATACATGTCTGCATGTATGAGTCCACACATATGTGTGGTGTACAACTGTACATATGTATGTGTACATTTGGAGGTCAGAAGTTGATTTAAGGTATTTTTCTCTAGTGTTTCTTGCTTCATTTACTGAGTCAAAGTCTCTTAATGAACCTAGAGCTTGCTGATCTATCTAATCTAGGTATTAATCTATCTGTCTAATCTAGCATAGAATTGGAGTGCCCCTGTTTCAACCACCTGAAGTTCTGGGATAATGGGCAGGCAGGCTAGCAGGCTACCGTATCTACCCAGTTTTTTTTTTTTTTTAGTTATTATTGACTTTTATTTTGTGAATGAAATGAAGCACAGGTTTTGTACACAAAACAGAAAGCACATTGGAAATTAAGACAATTTCCTAAGCCTTTTCTCTTTCCACAAACCACATATTTTTTTATTTAATTTTTTTCTTATCAGTTACATTTTATTAACTCTGTATCTGAGCTGTATCCCGCTCCCTCATTCCCTACCAACCCCACCCTCCCTCCCTCATCTCCACCGTGCCCGTTTCCAAGTCCACTGATAGGGGGGAACTCCTCCCCATTCATCCGATCCTGTTTAATCAGGTATCTTCATGACTGGCTGTGAACCCCCCCTCTGTGGCATAACAGGACTGCTCCTCACTTGAGGGGTGGGGAGGTCAAAGAGCCAGTCATTGAATTCCTGTTAGAAATAGTCCTTGTTCCCCTCACTATGGGAAACCAATTGGTTACTGAGCTACCACAGGCTACATCTGAGCAGAGGTTCTAGGTTATATCCATACATGGTCCTTGGTTGAATGTCAGTCTCTGAATAGACCCTGTATTTGGTCCTTGTGGAACTCCTATCCTTTCCCCATCATACTAACTCCCCTTCTTTCATATGATTCCCTGTACTCTGCTGAAGGTTTGGTCATGAGTCTATGTATCTGCTTTGAAAACACTGCTACTTAGAGTCTTTCAGATGCGCTCAGTAGACTCCTGTCATTCGGTCAATGCACATCCCATCTGTCTTTCTAAACGAGGATTGATCATCTTATCCCATGTCCGCTCTCTTGATTATCTTTTTGAGGTGTATAGATTTCATTATGTTTGTCATATCTTATAGGTCTATATAAGTGAGTATATACCGTGTTTGTCTTTCTCCTTCTGGGATATTTCACTCAGACTGATCTTTTCTAGATCCCACCATTTGCCTGCAAATTTCATGATTTCCTCCTTTTTGATTGCTGAGTAGTATTCCATTGTGTAAAAATACTACAATTTCTGTACCCATTCTTCCGTTGATGGACATCTGGGTTGTTTCCAGGTCTATTACAAATAAAGCTGCTATAAACATGGTTGAGCAAGTATCCCTTTTGTGTACTTGAGCAAATTTTGGGTATATACCTAGCAGTGGTATAGCTGGGTCTTGAGGAAGCACTATTCTTAATTGTCTTAGAAAGCGCCAGATAGATTTCCAGAGTGGTTGTATCAGTTTACATTCCCACCAGCAGTGGAGGAGGGTTCCCCTTTCTCCACAACCTCTCCAGCATGTGTTGTCACTTGAGTTTTTCATCTTGGCCATTCTGATGGGTGTAAGGTGATATCTCAGGGTCGTTTTGATTTGCATTTCCCTGATGGCTAATGAGGTTGAGCATTTCTTTAAGTGTTTCTCTGCCATTTGATATTCCTCTGTAGAGAATTATCTGTTTAGCTCTGCTCCCCATTTTTTAATTGGATTACTGTTTGCTGCTCTTCAGCTTCTTTACTTCTTTGTATATACTGAATATTAGTCCTCTGTCAGATAAAGGGTTAGTGAAGATTCTTTCCCAATCTGTAGGCAGTCGTTTTGTTTTGATGACAGTGTCCCTTGCTTTACAGAAGCTTTTCGGTTTCATGAGGTCCCATTTACTGATTCTTGTTCTTAGAGCCTGTGCTGTTGGTGTTTTGTTCAGGAAGTTGTCTCCTGTGCAAATGAATTCCAGGCTCTCGCCCACTTTTTCTTCTAACAGATTTAGAGCATCTGGTTTTATGTTGAGGTCTTTGATCTACTTGGACTTTAGTTTTGTGCAGGGTGATAAGTATGTATCTATTTTCATTTTTCTGCATGTAGACATCCAGTTGGACCAGCACCATTTGTTGAAGATGCTGTCTATTTTCCATTGAATGGTTTTGGCTTCTTTGTCAAAAATCGAGTATTCATAGGTGTGTGGGTTTATTTCTGGGTCTTCTATGCAGTTCCATTGATCCTTCTTTCTGTTTTTATGCCAATACCATGGAGTTTTTATTACTATTGCTCTGTAGTACAACTTGAGATCGGGGTTGGTGATACCTCCAGATGATCTGTTGTTGTACAGGATTGTTTTGGAGATTCTGGGTTTTTTGTTTCTCCACATGAAGCTGAGAATTTTTTTTCAAGGTCTGTAAAGAATTGAGTTAGTATTTTGATGGGAATTGCATTGAATCTGTAGATTGCTTTTGGCAGGATGGCCATTTTTCACAATGTTAATCCTACCAATCCATGAGCACGGGAGATCTTTCATCTTCTGATATCTTCTTCAAATTTCTTTCTTCAGATACTTGAAATTTTTCTCAAACAGGTCGTTCACTTGCTTGGTTAGTGTCACCCCAAGGTACTTTATGTTATTAGTGGCTATTGTGAAGGGTGTTGTTTCCCTAATTTCTTTCTCGGCCCTTTTGTCTTTGGTATACAGGAGGGCTTCTGATTATTTTGAGTTGATTTTGTATCCTGCCACTTTGCTGAAGGTGTTTATCAGCTGGAGGAGTTCTCTAGTTGAATTTTTGGGGTTGCTGATGTATACTATCATATCATCTGCAAATAGTGACACTTTAACCTCTTCCTTTCCTATTTGTATCCCCTTGATCTGCTTTAGTTGTGTTATTGCTCTGGCTAGGACTTCAAGTACTATGTTGAAGAGGTATGGAGAGAGTGGGCAGTCTAGTCTTGCCTCTGATTTCAGTGGGATTGATTTAAGTTTCTCTCCAGTGAGTTTGATGTTGGCTATAGGCTTGCTGTATATTGCCTTTACTATGTTTAGATATGTGCCTTGTATCACTGATCTCTCCAAGACTTTAAACATGAATGGGTGTTGGACTTTTTCAAATGCTTTTTCAGCATCTAAGGAGATGATCATGTGGTTTTTCTTCTTCAGTTTGTTTATGTGGTGGATTGCATTGATGGATTTCCTTATGTTGAACCACCCTTGCATGCCTGGGATGAAGCCTACTTGGTCATGGTGGATGATATCTTTGATGTGTTCTTGAATTCGGTTTGCAAGTATTTTATTGAGTATTTTTGTGTCAATGTTCATAAGAGAGATAGGTCTGAAGTTTTCTTTTTTTGTTGGGTCTTTGTGTGGTTTAGTTATCAGGGTGACTGTTGCTTCATAGAATGAGTTTGGTAATGTACCTTCTGTTTATATTTTGTGGAATAGTTGGAGGAGAATTGATGTTAGCACTTCTTTGAAAGTCTTGTAGAATTCTGCGCTGAAACCATCTGGTCCAGGGCTTTTTTTGGAGGGGAGACTGTGAATGACTGCTTCAATTTCCTTGGGGGATATAGGGCTGTTCAGTCTTTCTACCTGATCTTGACTTAATGTTGGAAGATGGAATCTATCAAGAAAATTGTCCATTTCATTTAGGTTTTCAAATTTTGTGGCATATATGCTTTTGTAGTATGACCTAATGATGGTTTGAATTTCCTCAGCGTCTGTAGTTATGTCAACCTTTTCATTTCTGATTTTGCTGATTTGGATAGATTCTCTCTGCTTTTTAGTTAGTTTGGCTAAGTGTTTGTCTATCTTGTTGATTTTCTCAAAGAACCAGCTTTTTGTTTCATTGATTCTTTGAATAGTTTTATTTGTTTCTAATTGATTGATTTCAGCCCTGAGTTTGATTATTTCCATCCTTCTGCTCCTCTTGGGTGTATCTTCTTCTTTTTTTTCTAGGGTTTTCAGTTGGGCCATTAAGTTGTTTGTATGTGATGTTACAAATTTCTTCTTGCAGGCACTTAGTGCTATAAATTTTCCTCTGAGCACTGCTTTCAATGTGTCCCATAAATTTGGGTATGTTGTGCCTTCATTTTCATTGAATTCTAGGAAGTCTTTAATTTCTTTCTTTATTTCTTCCTTAACCCAGCTGTCATTGAGTAACAAGTTGTTCAGTTTCCATGTGCCTGTCGGCTTTTTGTTATTTCTGTTGTTGTTGAGGTCCAGCTTTAATCCATGGTGGTCACATAGAATACAAGGGATTATTTCAATCTTTTTGTATCTGTTGAGGTTTGCTTTATGACCAACTATATGGTCTATTTTGGAGAAGGTTCCATGCGGTGCTGAAAAGAAGGTATACTCTTTTGAGTTTGGATGAAAAGATCTGATGTCTATTAGGTCCATTTGATTTAGGGACTCTGTAAGTGTTTTTATT